CAATATTCTATGGGCAGTGTTGGAATCACGCCGAGCGGTATTACCAGATGGGCAGTTATACCGCTTAATCGGTCCTCTCATACATGTGCAATTAATTTCGTGAATAGGAAGTAAAATAATATGTGTACCCCTCGAGGATAATAATTTCAATAGTCAAAGAAGTTTTGAAATATTTTTCTCAAAGTTAAAATTAGAAATATGAAATTGGCGTTGGACCTGCGGCGGACGGTACAGATACACTCTCCGCTAGGCGTATTGTTTTGTTTTTATTTTTCAACAGCCTGTCATACACATACGAACATTCATTCCCCGGTCATTTTAGTGTCTTACACAGATTCCAAATGTGCTTGGAATATTTTTCAGTCTGATTTGTAATCTGTGATATTTAGAGGTTTCAGCAGCCATGAAAGATAAATCGAAACCATTTCTTTCCATAGTCAATTTGAAAAAGTACATCACGGAGACTGATGGAAGATTACATCGCGCGCTTCATAATGTGAAGATCACCAAGACTACTTATTCCAAAAAGGCTGAAGCAAATAACGCCAGTATTGCGGAATGCCAACAAAAATTGTCAACTGGAGTGTATGTATTCACATCACTAAACAAGCTTGGCGTGAAAAGAATTTTGGATCTCGTGGATTCTACAGAATACCACGATATATTTTTTCCACTTAGTAGAAACTGCAATCGATATTTCAGGCCATTCGGTGTACATATGCAAGTAGGTCATTCCGCCAGATATCGTAAGCACATGCGATTTCAAAAGCTTATAGTTCTCACCCGGCAGACCTGGGCTCGCTTTCCATCGGTCACACTAGTAGCCCGCGTGCAAATCTTCATAGAGATTGGCAAAAAGACGTTCAACAAACTGGAAAAAACATCATTATGCTATTTAGGTATGGAACAAAACCGCTGCCGAAGCGAAGAGTCTCAAACATTGAGCAATCCTTAATGAAACTCTTCTGGAATTCGGTATTTGACGTTCTTGACTCACGTTAATTCGAGTTTTGCACCCATTAGAATGGTCTGCTGCAAATGCCTTGGAATTGTGGCTAACGCCTTATTTAAACCCAACACTTCCATTGAAGTAAACCGACGGTAAATTGAACTCTCCAAATGCTCAATCCTCATGGCATTTGACATGTAATATGCTTGACTCTTCGTTAAATAGACCCTGCCGTTATCAGAATGATTTGAAGTCTTGAGTTCCAGTCTAAAATTTCCTGGAGCCACAAAGCACATACATCTCTAAACAATATAGAGATGAGTGGACAGTATTTGTACACGGTATAAATGTGAGGGAAGCGCGCCCCAGGTAGGAATTGACGATAGATACAGGGCTCATCGAGCCTTGAAACAAGCCTCGAAAATGCTCAACCAGGGCTGGGGCTCAGCACGAATCAGCCCTTGATTCAGCCCCAAAATGATAACCCGAATTCAGGCTCAATCTCGAAGGCTTGAATAAGGCTTAATGCCAAGGCTGGATCCAAGCCTTAAGCTACAAAATTTCAAAGGCTCAATTCCACTTTATTTTAACAAATGATGTTATTGTTTATACGCATTTGTTCCAACCATGTCTATTTGTTTATGAGTCTCTGATTATTTTCAATTCCCCACAAATAAGTCCCCAAGGCAGTTGTTGGACGTTGTTGATGAGTAGTATTTAGTATTTAGTCAAGTTTAATTGTTGATTAATTAATAAGGAATAAAAAAAATAACGTGATCATTATTGTTTTTTGCTAGTTATGGAACCTGAACTGTTATCATATATCTGTAATCGAAATTCAATGAAATTATACTTTTAAAAATTCTGCATGTTCGGGGATTCGATCCGGGGTCCTTAGGATCCTTAGACCAGCGCGCTGTCCACTCGGCCACCTGGAAGTTCTTATTACTACAATTTTGGTGGCGGGTGCTTCTGTATCTTCCGGGCGCATTTCAAAATTGAAACGATTGCTATTGTTTGGAATGTCTTTAACATGAAAAAAGGGAATTGTTTGAAAATTTTTTTTTTAATTTAGGTTTTAAATAAATTATTCTGAAAGATGATACCTTCAATATAAAAGATGTAATTTTTTTCGCATAAATCACTTACCCGGCATACGAAAAGAGTATGTCGTGTGAAAAAAAAATTGTAATCAATAATAACAATAATAATGATTATGTGACGACTCCGTACATGAAGGGTTACGACATGCGCCGAAAGACCATTAGGTTTTTTCATTGCGCCGCGACTTTCGTCGCAGTTATTAGTTTGCATTGGTTTCATTCCTTAATATTAATTAGGAGGGGAGAGACAATTTTTTGATTAGCGGGCGAGTTATCCATCAAGTTTTTCACAGCGCCGCAACTTTCGTCGCAGTTTTTATTTTTTGATTACAGAGATTAAGGGATGAAACGGGGGTTGCTGGATGGAGAATTTAATTCTCCATCGAACAGCATTGGTTTCATTCCTTAATGTTAATTAGGAGGGGAGAGAGATTTTTCAATTATTAGCGGGCGAATTATTGGGGTGGCACTCTGCGCCGAGAAAGCATTGGGTTTCTCATAGGGCCGCGACTTTTGTCGTAGTTTTTATTTTTTGATTACAGAGATTAAGGGATGAAACGGGGGTTGCTGCATGGGGAATTTAATTCTCCATCGAACAGCATTGGTTTCATTCCTTAATATTAATTAGGAGGAGAGAGACGATTTTTTAATTGGCGGGCGAGTTATCCATTAAGTTTTTCATAGC